GAAAAATATCAAAAAAATATTTTACATAAAATAAATTGACCAAAATACCCCGAAAAGTTTTGGGGGTATTTTGGTCATTTTATTTTTACGCCAATAAATTTTTGTATATTTTTATTAGATGTGTCTTGATGAGAAGAAAACACACCTAATTTTTCAAGTGATTTGGATTTGTAGAAAAAAACTTAAAATTCAAACTTAAAATGAGGTCGTGACAGTCAGATCACCCCAGATTTAATCTTGGCCGTTGGGCTCATATGTTCATATAAGCTAGTGGGCTAATCCCAGCCTTTTCCTATATATATATATATATATATATATATATATATATATTAATTCAGAACCCCAATAAAAGTGTTGGGGATGCTCATGGGCATTGAGGCATAAGATGGCTTGACATGTTAGCAGTGAGAGATTGTGTTCATTGAGGGGAATCTGATTGTTACCATTTTAGTTACTCGTGATAGTAATGTATCAATATTTGATCATTAATCCATACATTAGACGCAAAGTTGTAAACTACAAAAACACAAATATTTTTTACATTTTACTAATAGATCATTTGGCTCCCTGGGTAAACAAACACAAAATTTGAATCATAACCTGATTATGCCAAACTTTTATTACGCTAAAACCTAGTTTCTGGAACATGACTGTTTGGATAACTTTTGAATGGGACAAATGTTTGGGTCATTTGTTTGTATAACCTGGGTTTGGAGATTTATTATTTAATATCACTACTAATACTATTTCTCAAAAAAAAATATTACTACTACTACTACTACTACTACAATAATGGGAGAGAATAAGTTCTTTTGGGTTTTGTTATTTGGATAGAAATATTATTCAAATTTCACAATAAATGAACTCCGTAGAGAAATTAGTGGTTATAATGAAGAACAATCAATGTTTGGATGATGTGCATCGAATTATATTTTTGAGATGGAAATAGAAAATTTTTATTCATGGAAAAGTGAGTTCTTAATTGCTTGCTCCTTTGGAAAATGATATACACAAGATTTTGATTACTTTTTGGTGCTTTCATTTCTATTTGCCAAGTTGGCATCCATAAAATGCGTTTTCATGGTTTGTTGAAGTGGGCTTTACTTTTGCTTGATGTCAAAGATATAAGGCATACTTGAATAATTTGACATGCTTTGCTCTACTAGGTAAACAGTTAGGTTTGATTTGAGATATGGGTTCAACGGGTTGGTTTTCTTAGATCTGTTTGTTTTCTATATCTTCATCGGGACTGTATTTAAAGTAAGGGTGCAGTTTGTATAGAGCCGAGGCTCTAAGCAATCAATGTAAAGCGCACCTTCAAATAGTGTCGAAAAATGTGGTTTCAGTACTGGAAATCTTTGTGATAGCCTTAAAATATATTTTCAACTTCAATTATAAAATTTAAAGTTTAAAAAATAACGTGGATCAAGCAAATCTATGAAAACTTGAAAATATTGAAAATTGATGGTCCAAAAATGCGTTACAAGATGCACTATTTCCAAAACTTGAAATCCATTTTTCTCTCATGTCCATGCATCTTGATGTCGAGATGATCAATTTGAGGATATTTAGGTATCAAAACCACCTCTTCTAGTGAAATTTTTGAGGTGGGTTCTAATTTGATTGTTTAGAGCCTTGGCCATGTATAAACGTTTTCCTTTAAGTAATGCATGTAGACACTTTCTAGACAATCAGTGATTTGAAGGCTGTTGCAAAGTGGAAGAAGCACTTGATAGGCAAGTTTTACGTCACAGATTGGGTGAATTTTGGAATGCCTTTGATAAATTGAGCATATTATACTTTGATCCAATAAAGGCAATTGTCTCGATTCCTGGAACAAACCTCTAGCAACAAGTGGAATACTTTGAATAAGTTTACAGTTGTCATGTGTTGAGCAATATAGATTGCTAGATTCCCTGACCGTTGAAGAGCAGGCGTGTGACACATGTGCATGCAAGTGTGTGCATGTCTGGATGCATGTGGACGCGTGCTCATGGAGGTCGTTTAACCTGCACCCTGCTAATGGTAAAACTATGGGCTCCACATAATTTCGTGATAGACTTCCTTACCCATGTCTGACTTCTTTGGGGTGGGAAATTTTGTGTTTGACAATGTAAATGATGATATCACTATAGAAAAGCTAGGATCAATATTTATTATCAGAAAAGCAATGTCCAAAAGTTGGCATGTAAAGATCATGCCATGCATGAAAATATGCCTGAGTTAGTCTGAATTTCTAAAATTTAAATATTTACCAAGTCAAGCAAGTCTGAGGCGAATGTAACTTTTTTAAAACATGGAGCTCATCTTTACTTTGTTCTCCAGCAAACATAGGTAAATTGCTACCATTTCCTCTTACTTCTGCAGTTTCTTGGTTTTTCTTTTTTGCTTTTCTAATACTTGATTGTTTCAGGTGAGCAAGACTGAGGAAGAGGAATTCAACACTGGTCCGCTTTCCGTGTTGATGATGAGTGTTAAGAACAATACCCAGGTAATAATTTACATTATCTAATGGTACTCCAATAGATGGTAGAAATATCAAAGCAACTTGATGAAATTTTTTTTATAGCAACCATTTTGGGTGCTCAATCCAACATGCACATGGCATGCAGGCGTAATGAATGCATGCCAACTTGATAAAAAACATATAGCAACATTTTGGATGCTCAATCCAACATGCACATGGCATTCGAGAACGACTGGGGGGTGGGGGTGGGAGGGGATTTCTTTGCATGTGTCTGTGTGTTTGCATGCGCGTGTGCTTCCATGTGTGTGTTTGCATGCTTGCAATGGAGTGTGATGTCAATATTATCTTTCTTACATTTTTTGGGTTGGTCCTCTTGACTTTCTGTTTATTGACTTTCACATCATGTTACCATCTTAGGTTCTTATCAACTGTCGAAACAACAAGAAGCTCCTTGGACGAGTTCGGGCCTTTGATCGTCACTGCAACATGGTTCTTGAAAATGTCCGGGAGATGTGGACTGAGGTCAGTCCTTATGCACGAGCACAACATATGTTGTAGCTTTGTTTTTTTCAGTTACTTTTTTATCCATTAGACATAAATAGTACTAGGAAGTAGAGAAACTTCACTTGTGCCGCCAAGTTTTCTGCCACCCTTATTTCTCATTTTCCAAACATGTCAACTAGGTTTTCCATGCCTTTCTTTAAGCACATCTCCACGACTTACTTCCCAAAATACCTCTTGTTTTTGGTACATTTTCTTTCTACCTACAAAACCAAATGAGAGAATGCCCTCTTTCTCTATCCCTCTACCCAAACTGACCCTCCCTATATGTTTTCTTTTCAATCCAGATCACTCTCTTCTCTACACAAACTGACACTCTCTACATCTCTACCCGATTGGAATCAGAATATTCTCTCCATGCCACTACTTAAATCTACTCCCTCTACATCTTTTTACAGAATCCAAATTAGCTCTCTCTCTCTCTCTCTCTCTCTCCCCATCTCTCTACCCAAACCGAAAGAGAAAACACCCCTCTTCAAACTGACTCTCTTTATATCTTTCCACTAAACCCACTCTCTCATACTGAATGAGAACCGCCCCCCTCTCTCTACTCCAACCAAACCAACACCATAACTTCTCTTCATCTCTGTACCTCAACTTTATGCCGCTTTACCGAAATCAAATCGGAGAGCCTTATCTCTCTCCATAGACATTCATAAACCCTCATCTCTCTCTCTTAACCCAAATGTCCTGAGGTACTAATGCTCTATCTATCTTTCCTTTAATATTGTAGAAAATTCTTCCAATGCTTATTGTATCCAATTTCTTTCTTCCCCAAAGTCCGGTTGTTCCACTCTTGTCTGCTCCCATTCTCCTCCTCTTGTGATATTCCTTTTTTCTTCACCTTCTTTTTGCTCTTTTGCTAGCTCCATTGCCTCTCCTACACGAGAGAGATACATACCGATAGAGCTGGGGATGTATTGGACTTTATGGTCTCTAGGTTTTAAGATAAAGGGAGTCAGAGCTTTATTGCTTTTGTTTGGTGCGTAAAAATGTCAAAAAGAGGATTTTCGGGAAGCAAATGGTACCAATTCAAAAAGATCACATTTTTGAAAGACTTAGGAAACTTGGGTGTTAGATTATTGAAAAGAGGTCAAGGTGACAATTTTGAAGTACACCGAAAGTTTGGTGGCGACAGTAATGTTTTTCTTGTACTATTTTTAATTTTTGATTGGCATTTTACTTAGCTCAATTTATTACTATTTTGGTTGTTTAGGTGCCAAAGACCGGAAAAGGTAAGAAGAAAGCACATCCAGTGAACAAGGACAGGTTTATTAGTAAGATGTTTCTTCGTGGAGACTCAGTTATCATCGTCCTGAGAAACCCCAAGTGAGGCGGTTGTCTTTCCACCCCATTTTCCTGTCAGGATTTTACCATTTTGGTTTTCTTTCTCATTAGTCGAAGTTTTTTCTCTCCCCTTCTTGGGAACTTGTCACTCTTGTTGGTAGAGAGGTCCTGATATTTGAACTAGTGCTTACTACTAATACAAGCTAGCTTTAATGTTTTAAATCACAGAATGCAGCCTAATGTGTGTTTAGTGAAAGGCTTCACCTGAAGACTCTCCTACTATTTGGACTTGTATATGCATGCATTCATTCAATTCATGTTTGTCATTTTTCTTCATGGGTTAAGCTGACAAACAAGCTGTGTGTATTGATTAAGGATTTAGTATGGTTACCGCTGTATGCGGTTGTACTTCAAACCTCGTTAGGAAAACATATCCGGTGTTGGAAACCCTGCAATTTCATCACACCACGATTATTTATTTGGAAGGAAAAAAATAGATTTCAAGCATTGGAAATGGTCCATCTTGCAAATGTATATATATTTTACTATCTATTTCAAGTATATATATATATATTTTGATATCAAGATGAATGACTATTTTTTGGAGCTCAGAAATGGGTAGATTTGTTCCGTTCTTGGAGCTCCAAATTCCACAGTTGGGAGGCAGCGTATTTGCTGTCAAGGTTGTAAACAATGTCGAGTGGTGCCTAGGCAATTGAGGGTTTGGGCCCCTATGTGCTAGGCAAGCATTGAGGCAGACCTTTGGGTTTTGTGGTGGGCTTTTATTTGTATACTCATGGACTATGGATGTGTATGTATCACTAATAGCTATTTTTGCAATTATTCAAGGGATTTTATGTTTTGTATATGAAGGTCACAATCATTTTTGTTCATGAGTGAGTGGTTGTGAGAGTGTCATTGAATGGATACAGTTTATAAAAAAATATTTCATGGATTTTGTGACTCACCGCAAGCTATTTAATTTGACATCTAATTAGTAGAAATGATTGTAAGTTCCATGTACAAAATATAAAGGAAAAAGTTTATGTTTGTGTGAGGTTCTAAACAATCAAAACAAGGTGTACTTCAAAAATTCATTAAAAAAAAGTTGTTTTGATGCTTAAAAACTTTAAATTTGATCATCTCAATTTCAAGATGCATGGACATAAGAAAAAAAAAAGTTTTAAGTATTGAAAATAATGTATCTTGTAATGTATTATCTAGGCTGTCAATTTTCAAAATTTTGAAGTGTTTAAAGATTTGTTCGATTTGTATGAACTTTAAATTTTATTATTAGATAAAAATCAATTTTCTGGCCATCATAAATATTTTAATATTATTACAATATATTTAGGCACTATTTAAAGGTTTGCCTTATTTTGATTATCTAGAGCCTTGGCCTTATACAAACCACACCTAAAGATAGATGATCTCTTGGTAGACAAACCCTTTATTTAAAGGGTGTGATTTGTATAAGGATGTAACTTTGAACCATCAAAATAAGTTGCACTTCCAAACTTAACTTTGTCGTATGATGTAATTTTGGTGTTGAAAATTTTTAGGATAACTCAAGAATCTATTTTTATCTCTAATTATAATATTTAAAATTTTAAAAATTATACAAACTAAGTAGATTTATAAACATATGAAAGTCTTGAAACTAGATGGTCAGATAATGTGTTGTAAGATGTATTAATTTTGGAACTTGAAATCCTTTCATTTTTCTTCTATATCTATGCATCTTGATGTCCATCACGGTGATAACATCAAAAGAGTCTTTTTCAATGGATTTTTGACGTACATTTTAATTCTATAATTTAAGGCATCAACATTATAAAAATTTTTTCTTTTTCTTTATATGAATTCGTAATGCAAATAGGTGTGCTTGAATGCAGAAAATACATTAAATCATTGCTTAATAGTTCATACTTATCAATTGTTGTGAGAACAATATTCTTGCATAAATGTAAAATTAATTATTAAACTAAGTTAGCTAACCAACAAGTGAACCGCAAATAGCAAAGAACAAAAAAATTTGACAAGATTAAAGTTTTTTTAAGAGCAAGGTAGGTGGGAGTGTAGGTGTTAGGTGCTTGCCTAAGCAAAGGCCCACCTCAGCTTGAAGTGCTTGTTCCCTAGGTGCTAGGTGGGCTATTTTTGACAATAATGCAAGCAAAGGCCCACCTCAGCTTGAAGTGCTTGTTCCCTAGGTGCTAGGTGGGCTATTTTTGACAATAATGCATGCGGTGCATTGAGTTTCTTGCTACGCAATTCTGAATAGTCAGCCTTGCCACAACTTCATCCTTTTATATCCTATTATGGCTTTCACTAGCTAGTTTTCATTTTTCATGGAGTTGGCCCCAACCCGAATTTCGAATCTTATTTGGATCTGGGGATCGATCCAAGACTTGGATTCGATAGATTGGATTCGGATCTGAATATCTTGGATTCGATCGGATCTTAATTCAGATTTGGATCTGAATGTAGATCTCATGTATACTTTTTGAATCTGAATCTGGATCTTGGAGGATCCAAACCCGATCCGACCCATTGTCAGCCCTATGTAGGTGCAGGTCAAAATGTGTCATGTCTTTTGGGTTCCAATGAGCTCCGGTAAGAGAAAATGTCTTAAGGCCTAGAGCTTGCTTTGAGTTTGTCCTAATTTTTCTCCTTAGTTGAAGAAATGATAGTTATAATGGAAAGTCAGTCCGATAGCCTTCAAGATTCATTATTTGATTAAATCAAATGCATGGGAATATAGTTGCCTATCTGAGAAGATGGAACGCTCACTTCTTACATTTGCTCCCTTTACATACACAAAAAAATACATTTGCTCCCTTTAAAGCAAAGTGAGAAGGGTTTTTGGCTGAATGGATGGTAAGAGACCATTAAATTACCTCATTCCTCAGTCAAATAGCTTGTGACCCAAATGTGAGATCATCACAACCCTCCTTGATGAATGCATTTTTTTATCCACGTGATGCTCAAATAGTTTATATAAGGCACCAACCTTATAATATAAAAAATAAGGAGCATCTCAAAACTAACTTTTGGAGTTGTTTAGGTGCTTGAAAACTTTTTAGGCAATCATCTCAACCTCAAGATGCATGAATATAAAAAAAATTACGCATCCGTATTTAATTTTCAAATATTTCTTATTAGTCTGTTTTGTACCATTTTTAGGGTTGGAGTTTTAACTTTCATAATTTAGAGTAAATAAATTTTCATGCCATTGTAAAGGTTTCCAACTGCGTCTTTCAGTTGAACTTGAGGTAGACTAATACTTTGTTTGAAATTAATGCCTTATATACACCCTTATTTATTTTGTTTGTTGGGTGGCATGAATGTGGGACGCGTACTAGACTGCAATTGCTTCCCATTTGGCATTTATTTATCAAAAGGATAACAACCCCCAATGAATAGTTCATGAATGGCAGCAAAATCAATAGCTCCTCTATTATTGCTTCTCATTTGGCATTTATTTATGTATGGGTGAGTTTTGGATAATGTGTCAATTTGTACTATTGATGTAAGGTGCACCTCAAAATTATGCTGAAAACGTAGTTTTGATGTCGTAAAGTGTTGTGATGATATGAAAATCTATTGTTGCCCCCAATTATGAAATTTGAAATTTCAAAAATGGTGAAAATCACGTAGATCTATACACATTTGAAAATCTTGAAAATGAATAATCCACGTGTTAGAAGATGAACTATTTTTAAGACTAGAAATCTTTTTTTTTTTTGTTTCATGTCCATGAATCTTGAGGTTGGGATAATCCTCTCTAGTGGGTTTTTTGAAGGCTAGAAATCCTCTCTAATGGGTTTAAAATGCACCTTACTTGTACAACATAAGGTTGAATCTTTATATAAAATTTTTCCTTTATTTATTGCATCGTGGAAGTGGAATGTAGGGAAAAGCTTGTTAACTGTTAGGGTTAGCACATGGACCGACCACATCGGTCTAGGTCCAAAGAAACATAGTTTTGATCTAAAATTCTTGAGTCCATCTTTAATGCACTAATAGACTATTTGCTTTCTTTTTATTAAACCACATCGGTGCTCTTAAAACTCTAGGTCTATACTCAAAACGAACTGTTTAAAAGAAAGGCCTCCGAGCTCTTTAACGAATACACAAACAAACGATCAGAGCATTTCGAACAAAGTGTCTAAACGAAACCCATGTTTGTAGGTGGATGGGTGGATCACCTAACGTGCACCTATAAATTTTCATTGTTACTTTACTTATAATGAATTGAGAAATAAAGATTCAAGCATACAAGAAAAGAAAAACTCTATATAAGGTTGAGGCCCTCAACAATTAAATTAATACGTCCCTAAATAATTCACTAGAAGAGGTTGTTTTGATTTAAATCGATTGACCTCGAGATGCATATAAATTTCAAGTGTGGGAAATAATGCATTTGTGATACATTATCTGGGCTATCAATTTATATCAATATTTTCCATGTGTATATAAATCTACTCAATCTACACTATTTTGAAGCTTTAAATTTTATAAATAAAGATAAAAATAAATTTACAGGCCATTACAAAGATTTTTGCTACTAAAAAGTAAATTTTCAACACAATTTTGCTACTAAAAAATAAATTTTCACCACAATTTTGCTACTAAAAAAAAAAATTTTCACCACAATTTAGAAGTTCGCCCTACTTTGATTGTTTAGGACCGACCTTGTACAGCCACACCCCGCAAGAAATAATTGAAGAACTTATAACAGCCTAATCATTAGTTAATAAAAAAAAAAACTATGGATTTAATAAAGGGAAAGGGAAAAGAATACCGCTAGAGTTTGTATTTTGTCTTTTTAACTTTATATCACTACAGTATGTATGGTCTGAACATTGGCAGAGGGCCACACAGTCTTCAATAGTGGATGGTGAAGATGAACAATCTCTATGCTTAATCTCCACAATTTTTTGTTTTGGTTATACGATGGAACAATACATTATGCATATATTTTTGATGAAATATAGATTACATATTATGCATATATTGAAAGGAAAAAACTGAAATCAACCCACTAACTCATATGAACTAAACAATCCAGATTGAATCTGGATCGATCTTACAATCACAGATGTCCAGTAATATTTGAATTTTAATTTTTTTTTCAATAAATCCAGATCACTTGAAAGTTTAAGAAAGTATTCATCAAAAATAGTTGAATCTTCGAAAAAAAAATATACATTTTACATAAAATAAATTAACTAAAATACACCCAAAAATTCCGAAAGTATTTTGCTCTTTTTTTTTTCACGAATAAATTGTTTTTATTAAATACACATTGGTGAGAACAACCCATGTCTAAAATTTCAAGTGATTTAAATGTGTCAAAAAAAAATTAAAATTCAAACACGAAATGAAATCGTGACCGTCAAATAGACGGTTGGACTCATATATTCATACGAACTAGTGAGCTAATCCAAACTTTTTCCATATTAAAATATACTTTCAAACATTGACTATTACCTATGCCTCCCCTCTTTTTTTTTTAATAATAAAATAAAATCAAAATCTTATTGCCCCACAACGGTGTTAAAATCCTTAGTCATCCACCGTATAGCGGTCGCACCCCACATCATAGTCACCACAGTGATTTCTATTTCCACCACTAACAACACTTCACTAATATCTTCAAAAAGCTAACTTTTAATCTACTTGAAAAAAACGGGTAGGAGATGTCTTCCCCTACTAAATTCCCCAAAAAATAATAATCTAGGAAACCAAAACATTCAATACACGTATCACTTTTTATCTTTAGACACCATATGAGTGTGTTCATAAAAAATAGTTGAATCTTCCAAAAATATCAAAAAAAATATTTTATATAAAATAAATTGATCAAAATACCCTCAAAAATTTCAAAAGTATTTTGATCAGTTTTTTTTCATGAATATTTTTTTTTTTTGATTAAATACACTTGAAAACAATATACACCTAAAATTTCAAATGATTTGAATTTGTAAAAAAAAAAAATTAAAATTCAAACACAATAAAATCGTGACCGTCAAATGATATGTTGAACTCATATATTCATAGAAGCTATTGAGCTAATCCAAACTTTTTCCATATTGAAATATACTTTCAAACATTTGACTATTACCCATGCCTCCCCTTTTCTTTTTTAATGATAAAATAAAATCAAAATCTTATTGTCCCATAAAGGTGATAAAATCCTTGGTCATCCACCATGGAACGGTAGCACCCCATATAATAGGGATAGCACCCCGACGTCATTATCACCGCATTGTGATTTCTATTCCCACCACTAACACCACCTCCCTAATATCTTCAAAAAGCTAACTGCTAATCTACTTGAAAAAAAAGTTAGAGGATGTCTTCCCCCACTGAATTACCAAAGCAATAATAATCCAGAAAACCAAGACAACATTCAATACACTTTATTACTTTTATCAATGTAGACACCATAATCCTTGAGTCGAGTCTAGTAGGGACAACACTTCCCTCTGAGCCTCAATGGTCTCTTAATCCCTCCAAGGATCAAACCCCAGATATAAGTCGTATCACATGGAAGAGCGGCGCATTGTTCCGACACCATGTGATACGCAGGGTTGGGATTGAATAATATACTTACTTTGATGACGATGGCTCTGATGAGGATTATGTGGGGCTTCATTTGACGATATGCTACGGTCGTCTAACCATAAAATGATATCTTTAAAGACGATCTCCGCATTAGAATCAGGTTCCCCAGTGGTTAGAGCATGCCACATGCCAGGATACAGCTTCATGGTTTTGTCCAAGCTCATCGCATTGTCAAATAGTGCTTGGCTCACACTGGGGTCGGTTACGGTGTCGGCTTCGCCATGTAACACTAAGAAGGGCATTGTCACCTGCCCAATTGTTGCCATTATTGCAAAGAAATGGAATTTGAAAATGATTAACATAATTAAGAGTTTTGAGTCAACATTGTCTGGAACAATGCTCTCAAAATGTTATGAAACAATGTTTTCAAAGTACTGCAGCTACTGCTTTAGTGTTAATTATTTGGAGAAGATATATAATGGATGGAGTATGGACCTCTTGCAATCTGTCCTCCAGATCCATGCTGGTTCTTAGCATTTCAAGAGCTGTTTTCAATCTGGGCTTGTCTTGGTATATGAGCTTGTTGTTTCTGACCTGAAAAATACATTTAGAAGTAATTATTGTAAACATATCCTATAAAATGTTATAGCACCCTGAGCCCTAAAGGAACATCAGATGTTATAGTGGAAATTTAAATATTATAGTGCGATATCAAATGTGTTTTTAAGTGTAAAACGAGTTCTATGTCTGGAGATGATTATCAAAGCCAGTTTCATATGGCTCCCTCCCCATAAACTTGGCTGGAAAATCCCTGAAACCACGTGAGTCCGACTTAGGCTCTGGACCAAGCTAGTAGAGACACAGTCTAGACGTTTTAAACACTGGTGGTAGCCATCCAATGTATTTACTAGAATCAAATGGACCAATGATTTGGAGATTCACGATCTCTTTAGCTAATAAGAAAACACATAAGCCTGGCTTGTGTAAAGATTCCTTCATTGTTAAAAGAGCGATCCCCAAGGGCATGTTTGGTACGTGAAAAAACTCCCTTATGGGCATGTTTGGTACGTGAAAAAACTCCCTTATGTGATTAGATGTGGGAATTTTTTGGACTACCTATATCCCAATGCATTTTTCACACTAATTGACAGCTAATTGATGTGAAAAAACACCCACATCTAAAGGGAATTTTTTATGTGAAGACTCATGTCAGTATTTTCACTAGTACCAAATGTGCCATAAGTTAAAAATGGGAAGAGTTTCCTATGTCACAATGGCAGTAAAAAAAAAAGAAAAGAAATGGAGATGAAAAGGGAGGAAGAAGCACCTCTTCTCTTTTGACAGGATCTTTGAAGGCAGAGTCTATAACATCTTTGGTTGGGACAATTTTCCACTTGGGTATGATGTCTTCCACTTTTGTGAGTATGTTAACCACAATTGGGTGAGGTTTTACCTTTTCAGATATCTGCCTCCACATAACAGCAAATTCATATGGCACTTTTTTTTTTTTTTTTTCCAGAAAGAAGAAAGAAATTGCATATGACAATCATTAAATGAGAAAGAAACCCCAACATCTTACTTATCTCTTTTATTTTTTTGGGGGGAGAGAGAGGGAGAGAGAGTGCTAAACCTTGCACATGGGTGCAAGAAGCACTGCACCATTCCAGAAAGATGGGTCTTTTTTGTGGAGGAGCAGAGCAACAGCCCCTCCCATTGACTCCCCATATAAAAACCTTGCTTTGCCCCTGTATTTTTCATCACCTGCAACATCCCAATTGAAAACTACTAATTATAGCATTACAACACTAATAGCTATTCTGTCTATGTGAAATGGGCCCAGCTCATATTTCTCTCACCACTCAATTGGGCTTTAGAGAGAGAGACAGGTTGATAATGTCCATGTTTTACTTTTGTCACCTTCACTTGTGAAAGAAAGAGAAAATTATTGAGAGAGAGAGAGAGAGGAGTTAAAAAAAGATAACAGAAAGAGAGATTTATTGAGAGAGAGAGAGAGAGAGATGAGTGGACAAAAGTAATGGAAATATATTATCACCAGAAATGGACTTGAAGAAGTTGTCACAGTCATTGACTAAGTTCGAGAAGCTTTTGATGTAACAGCGTCTGCCCCGAGATTGCCCATGCCCCTCATAATCCATCCCATACACTCCATACCCAGCCTCAGCCAACCTTATCCCACTCCCTATAACCCATTTAACAAACAAATAAACCAACTTTATTCAATTCAAGAAAATAAAAAATAAAAAATCCTATTTCTATTTTATCAAATATCATTCAACAAAAAACACCCACAATTTCTTCCAAATGTACATACCATTTTTTTTTTTTTAAGTACAAGGAGGTCACATTTTCAAAAATTTGTACTTCCATCAATGAAAAAGGTTTATATAGAGCCGAGCTCTAAACAATCAAATTAGAGCCCACCTCAAAAATTTCACTAGAAGACGTTATTTTGATGCCCAATTATCCTCAAATTGATCATCTCGACATCAAGATGCATGGACATGAGAAAAAAAAAAAAAGAGAATTTAAGTTTTAAAAATAGTGCATCTTGTAATGCATTTTTCGACGGTCAATTTTTAAGATTTTCAAGTTGTCATAGATTTGTTCAATCTACACTATTTTTGAAGCAAGCTTTGAATTTTATAATTAGAGATGGAAATATATTTTAAGGCTATCGTAAACATTTCTCTACATTATTTGAAGGTGTGCTTTCCTATAATTGTTTAAAGCCTGGCTCTGTACCAACCGCACCACTTCATCTATTAGATTTCGCTAAAAATAATTGTGGCTTCCTTATACAAAAAATAAATGTCACATAATATATAATTCACAATTTTCCCTTCTCTCTCAACACTTTCTCTCTCTAGGAAAGGCCGAAGCTTTGCTATAGCAACCAGAGAGAAGAAATTTGATAGTTTTGAAATTTTCAAAGTTCCCCAAGATTTGATCACCAACCATAACAAACCCAATGAAAAAGAAATAATGAAAACCAACCACCCCAAAAAAAAAAGAAAACAAATATTCCTATCTCTATTAAAAATAGTTGAAACTTTGATAAACTTAATGATTGGGAAGCTAACATACCTCTCATGAAAACACTGCACTCCATGCCGTACCCTGAAACCACAAAAGAGAGAACAAAAAAGAAAATTCAAGAGACTTTAAGTGATTTTCCCTTTTCTTTGCTTTGGTTTTTCTAATTTGACAGGTAAAAAAGTGATTAAATGTAATTTTTCGTTTAATGGGGAGAGAGAAAAATAGAAAATACCATGGCAAAAGAAGACCAGAGCTCTTGGTGAAGAGAGAGGAAGCCATCTGCAAGTAAAGAGCTTAACGCCTCTCGAGTTCTCTACGTATTCCTGTGAACCCACAGAAAAAGACGAAGAGCAAGAAAAAAAAAAAGAAAAATAGAACTAATTCCTGTTGAATAAAAAAAGAAGAAAAAAGGATGCAGATCATAAAAAAGATACAATGAAGGGCGTCACGCGTACCTCTTGATATTGGATTTCCATTATTACACGCAGTGACTATTGCGCATACCGAGGCGTAAACCCAGTAAAAAAAAAACTGTGAAGAGAGATAAAGCTCGAGAGAGAGCTTTGGAGTTTGAGGAAAATAAGGACGTTTTCCGAAAGATTTACAGGTTTTTTAACAGGGGGCTCTGCACTCTCAGAAATCAAGAGAGAGAGAGAGAGAGAGAGAGAGAGAGAGAGTATAACGAGGAGGGTAAGGAAATACGTACGTGGTCGTCGTGACGGAGGGGTAGTAACTAATACGAGTAGTACGGAAAGGAAAGGTACTTCCTTCCGT